CTCGGGGACCCTGGAAGCTTAAACAGGAAATGCTGTCGTGGGCCCGTTTCTTGCTCAGGAACTCGGTGACCCGAGTGGCAGCTTTGAGATCTCTCTTCGTAGGGGAGGTTTCCCACTACATCCCACTCGGAGTTTAGCATCCCCCGCCACCAATCCGCTCCTCGCTTTTCCCTGGTGTGTGGATCGCCATACCCTTCATCCAGTCAGTGGGCTCTGTGCTTCCTGGCCCGTGACTCTCTGGACCCATGTCCCAGCCTGTTGCCTGGATTCTTACCTGTCCCCTATGGGGCCCCAAAGGGGTCATTCTACACCCAGACCTGCCCCTGCCCCGCCCTTCTCATTTGGCTCCCCAGCACCCCTATCCAGTACCGCAGATGGTGGGCCAGGAGCCTGTGGGAGAAGGTGAGCTTCAAGAAGTTTCTCAAATGTATTGTTGATAGCTGACCCTCCCCTTTACCAAGCATGACATCCTTCTCCGGGGAATGGTCCCTTCTGACAACATGACCAAAGTAGGTGAGACGAAGTCTGGCCATTCTCGCCTCCAAGCAGTGTCCCAGCTGCACTTCTTCCAGGACAGAGCTGTCCGGTGTTGTGGCGCTCCCTGGTATTTTCAGTATCCTCCAGCAACACCACAACTCCAAAGCACCAGCTCTTCTTTGGTCTTCCTTATTCATCGTCCAGCTCTCACATGCGTATGAGGTGAGTGGAGGGGAAGGCCCTCGATGAGATGGACTGACACAGTGGCTGCCATGATAGGCTCAGGTATAGCAAGGATTGGGAGGCTGGCACAGGGCCGTGCAGTGTTCTGTTGTGCACGGGGTCGCTGTGAGTCGGAACTCACTCAGAGGCACCTAACAACAACATTGTTGATAGCTGTGGATGACACCAGGAACAAAGGACTAGAGACTTCTGCCCTTGAACGCTCATTGCTTCATTCCTACAACCTGTTGTTGGGTGCTGTCAAGTCGATGCCAAGTCCTAGCAACCCCATGTGACAGAGGAGACCTGTCCCATAGGGTTTCCTAGGCTGTTGTCTCTACAGAAGCCAATCCAGGTATCTTTTCCTGGGGCAGAGCTGTTGAGTGGGTTTGACTACCAATCTCTTGGTTACCAGCCGAGCGCTTAACTGTTGCTGCGCCAGGACATCTTTTCTAAAAGATAGTCTCAGTTTATCCAACTGTGTGATTCTGGTCTTGGCCCTGTATTCTAGGGAGAAAAAGAGCCCAGATTCAAACTTGTTCTATAAACCAAAACCAAACTCACTGTCTGAGTCGATTCTGACTCGGCAACCTGCACTGGGTTTCTGAGGCTATAAACCTTTACAGTAGATCACCCATCTTTCTTCCACAGAGCGGATGGTGGGTTTGAACCACTGACTTTCTGGTTAGCAGCCAAATGCCTTTCCACTGCGCCACCAGAGCTCCTTAAACTTGTTCTATGGAGACCCTTTTATTAAGCCCCAGACAGGACACAGAGAAAACAAGGAACTGGAAATCATCACAAAATCACACTGGTGGGGAGGGGTCGACTCCTCCCCGTTATAGGGGGGACTGTCGAAGTGGGGAGAGGACCACGGTTGGGGTACCTACGCAGGTAGAGTAAAAGGGTGACAGGATGGGTTCTGGGGCTCGACCACCTTGTCACATGGTGGTCATGACTATACAGTCCTGAGTCACAGACACAAGGTGGCCACAGGACAATGCCGGGACTCCAACCTTTAACTTAAATAACGTGCTTTGAATACATCCTTAAGGACACATCCGGACGAGTTCCCTGTTCTGTATGAGCGTAATCTCCTTTCTGCCACATGCCGCCCCTCCCTAGGCTTGTCCCCGACTTGTCTCTGCAAGGCCGTTTTACTGGCTTAATGGTCAGAAAGAAGGCAAATGGTGTCTGAACATATGTCAAGACTCAGAATAGAGTTGGGGTCCCGCTTTGGTCCGCAGCCTCCCCCAAACCGCGTGGTCGGAATGTGAGCTCTAACACACATTTAAAGCATCAGTGTGGAAAGGACTGGGCACCTCCAGTTGTATGTCGGGGCTCAAATTCCCCTCTTATCAGCTTGCTGTGTGACCTTGGGCTTGTCACTTTCTCTCAGACCCAGGTCGCTGTGGCAGGTCATAGGCCCCCTGGAGGAACACCCCGTGGGACACCTGGGCATGGTTTGAGGCCTGTCCATCAGTTGTGGAACTTCCACTTGTGACAGGAATTCCCACACGTTGGGGCAACAGACAATCTATCACCACACCCTCTCCTTCCCTTTTGTCAGTGATTGGTCAAGGCCATGGTGGGGCCAAGGAGAAGCAAGGGGAAACTGAGGCACAGAGTGAGCACTTTGCCTTTTTTTAAGATCATACGAGGTTGGAGAAGCTGAGAGCAAACGGTTGAGTGTTAACCCATCATAGGTTAAACAGTGTTACATTTATTTTTTTTTAGATAGATAGAAATTAGAAGACAGCTAAGCAGTCCCCCCCCCCTTTTTTCCTACAGTCCCACTTTTATTTATTTGTTTTGGTTTCACTCCCCATATACCACCCCCAGCCCTAACCCAGCCTCCTCCCCTCCCCACACAGTAACCCTCCCCCTTGCCCCTCACGGCTATGCTCCCGTGTTTCCTGCGTGTCCTCCGTGGGAATGTTGCCCCTCTGGTGCCCCGTGGTTGATTGCTCCAAGGGATGCATTTCCATAAAGGATGTGGGTGCGTCATCCTGGGTTGAGTGGTCTGCGTGTACATCTTGCTTACTACTGAGCTGAGAGCCAGCCCCCGGAAGTGAGTTTTATTCCAGGCCCAGAATGTATCCCAGGACCGTAGTATTGGGGGTCTCACCAGACTCCATCCGACCGGTAATTCTGGTCATTGTTGAGTTTTTGGATTCTGTTCCATGTTTTCCCTCCCACTCTATCCAGGATCTCCAGTTTTGATCCTTTCCCGAGTGGTTGGCACTGGTAGTCGGGCACCATCTAGTTCTTCTGGTCTCGAGGTCTGTCATGTCCTAGGGCTGATTGCTTCTAAATGCCCTTGGTTTTTGCACAATTCTTTGCTTCCAATCAAATACCATTAGCTGCATTTTAGATGGCCACTTCAAACCTTTTAAGAACTATCACTACTCACCAATGTAGGATGAGGAATGAGATTTTTATGTATTTTGTTGAGCCAATTGAGTCTGGTGTCCTATGGTCCTGAGTTGGTAGACCCATTGGATCTCTCTCCCACAGTTTCTGGCTGTCTGCCAGGGGTTACTCTATGTCTGTCTTCTGTTGTTTCTGTAAGGAAACAGTGTTAAAAATCAAGTGTTATTTTTAAATGAATTGTTTAAAACCACTTGCTGTGGTTGACTCACTGGTGGATTCCTGTGTATCAGGAGAACTGCCCCAGGGGGTTTTCTTGGCTGTCACGTCTACAAGACCGTCATGTGTTGTCTTCCGTGGTGACACTAAGACAAGGTCCACTGCCATGGAGTTGATTCCAACTGCCCAGTAGGGTTTCTAAGGCTGTAAATCTTAATGGAAGCAGATTGCCCATCTTCCCCTCACAGGGTGCCTGGGGGATTCAAACCACCAACCTCTTTTGGTTAGCAGCTGAATGCTGTAACCACGGTGTCACCAGAGACCCTTCCAGTTCCACCAAAAAAAAAAAAAAA